TATATACAAATAACTTTAAGTTATATAAACATACTATAACAAAGTAAACATTAGTATTAGTATTACTGATATTATTTCTTAACATTACGATTGTATTACTAATATAATATGATATTAATATTTGTTTAGACAAAAATAGTTAATATTAAACTCATTTATATTTTAAACTATCATAAAAACTAAGAATTATAATACTATTAAAAGTATTTTAAAAAAGGAAAAAATTATGCATCGTATCCTGTGATTTTATTAAATTATACTTTAACGTTAAGAATGCGATGCTAACATATCTCAACTTAAAAATATTTTATGTTACATGCAGTGTGTCAATATATCACTTTATTAAAATTAATGCTATTATATTTTTTCTTACAATAAAAATAACTAATTTCAAATGTTTTGATGTTCTTTAAGTTTGTCATTTTTATGATAAGCCGCATTATGATCAGATTGCCCACATATATGATATTTATAAATATTTCAGCTTGAACCATTACTTTTTTCTCCCTTTACTCTCTTTTCATATTTAATGCTACTCTTATATCTTTTTGTTAAAGGACGATCCTTAGTTTTAGATTTTAGTGGATTTTGAACATTTTCAAGTTCTTGAAATTCATGATTATTATCATTAATTGACTCATCAATAGTATGAATTTATTCTATTTCATTATTTTCTAAAATCACTTTATGATTTCGTTTCTTTTTATTGATATAATCTCTTATCATAAGTTCCATTTCATGATCATTAGATTCCAATGCAAGTAAAGTAGCTTCACAAACCATACCTCATAATTTACCATATTTTGCTCTTTTTTTAACAGTTTTTTTATTATAGGTGCAGTTTTTGGAATAGTAATAGCTTTACAATCTGAAATTATCATTTCAACTGAATTATTAGTATTATCTTTGAGATTTTCCTTTTCATAAACAAAAATTAGACTAGTTTCTTGTGTTAGTGATTTTCCTTGATAAGCATCTTGATACCACCTTTCTGGAATTATCAAAATGTGAAATCCTGTAACTTTTGAAAACATCATTACACAAAAATAATGATGACAGATAATACCTCTTGATAGGGTAATTAAACATATACATAAAAATGAAATTTCATTGGAAATTGCAATATAATGCATATAGCCTTTTTTACCAGGACGAATCTTACAAATTTTCCAAATTTCCCTAATTTCTTCTTTACCAATTTGAGTTGTAATCTAAGAAAATCAAGTTTTGAGAATTTTTTAATAAAATTGAGATTTTAATTGCATTCTGATTTTTATTACATTTAGATTAAAATATAATAAGATATTAATTTTGGTCAAAAATTTCTCAGAACTTGATTTTCTTAGATCCTAACCCATTTCATCAATGATTGATTGCAAAGTAATTTGTTATGCATCATAATGATCTTCAATAAAACCTTCTATTTCCTAATAAAATAAATAATAAATTACAATTAATATAAACACATTATCATGTTTTAATTTAATTTTTTAATACTAATTCTAAACCTTAATTCCAGATATTAATTTCTAATCCTAATTCCATCTTAATCGTTAGAAATAATTCACTTGAATCCTAATCTTTAATTCTAATCTAATTCTACTGAACTCTAATCCCTAATTCTAACCTAACCCTAATTTCTCTAAATCTAATCCCTAATCCTAACTTTAACCTTAATTCTAACGAACCTAATTCCTAATCCTAATCTAACAAAATTTCACCAGACTCTAATTTTAAATCCTATATAATTTTAGACTAGTATATGCAATAACTACCTGTTTTTGAATAAAATCTAACTCTAAAATTAAAATTGTAGTTGTTTGAAAATATAAACATTGTGCCATTTCTACTTTAATAACAATTAAAGTATTTATGCATAAATATTTTTCCAATACTTTAATAACAGATGGAAAAAAATCTTCTCCTATTGATACTGAAACTGAACTAGTAGTTAAAAATCAATATTCATAAAATCTTTCCCATTGAATTTCTGAAATAAGCCGTTCAGATAATTGATCAATAAGTTGAATAAAGTAAAATTACTTTTAACAGTCCTTTTAATAATTGCATTCATTCCTTCAACTCGAGAAATACTTTTAATACCAGCTATAAATATTTGCTTTAAATAACAATATGCTCATGATTTATTTGTTGGCCATAATACACAAGTTGAACAAAGGATTATCAGGTAATCATCAATCATCTGATAGCCCTCCTTTTTTCATTGAATCTGGTTTGAAAGAAATCTGATAGCTCTGCATAATGTCAAACATATATTTGACACAAATCATAAATAATTCATGCAACTTTCGGGTTGGCATATTTCAGATAATTAACAGATAAATATAGTATAAATATCAGAAGGAATATCGGACATTCTGATATGTCTATAATTTTTTGATAAATTATATATATATCATTTATATGTAGAGTCCCGATGTTTAACCAATTTTTTTATAAAAATAGTCATAGTATTTTCATTATATAATATTATATAATAAATGGAATCAATATATATTATTTTTATTATTGCACCTATATTCAGGGTTGGGAAGTACACTGTTAGTACAATGATTAGTACAATTAGTACATTTAGTACATTATAATAATTAATATAAAAATTAGTACAAGTATAGTACAAGTACGGTGTTAATTTTATCTAATACATACAAAATTCCTAATCCTGCCTATATTTATTGCTTTATTGATATATTCATTATTGCAAATACGCTATTAATAAATAATACATTATACAATACTATTGTTACATATTATTAATTATATGCTATTGTTATACATTATTATTAATTAAATACAATAAGGTCGCGTTGTACATACAAAAAATAAACAATTAATTATATAAATAAAAATAAATTATAATTATTATTTCAATAAACAAATAATATTTACTTATTATTAATAATAAAGCAGAGTTCTATTCGAACTGGTACAAAGATGAAATAGTCCATTTTGGGGCGTTGGATGGCAGTTTGGAATTGTCTACATATGTATTATCATTGTACTACCTTTTTCTTACAACCTTGATATTCTGTGTTATTTCACCTATTAAATCTGTATGTCATAAGAAACGTTGAACCCTAATAAAAAATTAAATTACATTTGATAATTCGTCATTAAATTCTAGTTAATATTATATTATCATTTAAATATGTTATCAAATGTTTTTGATTACCCTTTGCAATCTCCATTTCTTGTTATATATATGAATAACATGATTTGAATTTGCATTTCTAGACAGACGAATATTTTTGCTTTTCTCTTCTTGTACTAGAAAAGAAAGTGATTAATAAATACTTCATTAATAGAACATTAGTAACTATTTGCAATAAAAATGCATTATCTTTTTCATCATTTGATTCAGAAATTTCATCCGATTGATAATTAGAATCATCAACATTTTTTTAAGATCCTTAATCCAATCATCCCATTCCATCAAAGGTTGTAAGTCTGTTAGCATTTGATTATTAGTATGCAGCATATGATATAATCCTCTTTTTTATCGATCCTTTTTCTTTGTAATAAAACGGAATAATAAAATATTAATAATGTAATAAATGAGTCTTTAAAAATCAATAAAGTTCTATTAAATGCCACAAGATTGATTCTAGATGAAGTTAATATCTGATACTTATGTTTTTTTGTCTACCATTCGTACTAATTCTTTGTTTATTCACTTTGGCCTTTAAAGGATTTAATAATACAGTATATATATCTTTTCTATGACGATGAAGGTTCTGTAGAACTTTCTTCAACTCTGTATCAGTATATTGGAATTTATCACTGAGTACCCTCTTTATAGCTGGTATTGTGCTTTGAATTACATATATTTCAATGTCAGTCCATCATTTTTTATGATCTAATTTTAAAGAATCATCTAAACTCTTTAAAATTTAGATGACATTATCCTACAATATATATATAAAGGATTGGATGGTTAAATTAAATATATTTATATTTATATGACCACAAATCATCACAAAATAAAATCTTTAATTATTTATATATTAACCCGAAAAGCCTTTTTATAATCATTATTCATAGGCTCTAAATCATTCAGGATTCTTTTAGATTTCCTATTAGGCGAAATATCGGGAGACATAGAAGGTATTCTTGATCGACTTTCATTTTTGTGACAAAGTTCTCTTATTTTCTCTATCAATTCTGAGACGATCGAACGTAATTCTACAATTTCAGATTAGATAAAAATTGGTAATAGTCTACTATCTTATTAGTATTTTTTTAATAAAAATTTAACAATCACCTTCCTAATTTCTAATTTCTCTACTTTCACTTCTTCTGCTTCTTTTTTTCTTTTCAATGTTTCTATAATCTCTATAATCCTTATTAATACTTCTTTCTTCTCCTCTTCTTCTTCCTTGTTCTTTATCTCTTCTCTCTAATGAAGTAGGAGTATGACTAACACTTCTTTCTTCTCCTCTTCTTCTTTCTTGTTCTCTATCTCTTCTTTCTAATGAAGTAGGAGTACAACTTCATTCTTTGCCTCTTCTTTCTAATGAAATAGGAATTTGTAAAGTTCAGCTTCTACCTCTTTCTTTGTATAACAACTCCTTCTTTTCTCTTGAATTTTCTCTACTTTTGTAAATAGAAATTTCTTTAAAATTTCTTGACCTGTATTTAGAAGTTTGCATGATTAGACACATGATAAAAATGATAAAGATATAAATTAGAACAATATATGAGGCCTTTGCAATAGAAAGAGAGGAAACTGCTAGAAAAACTTAATTTTACTTTTATATAACAAATATGACTTTCAGGCTGAAATATATTCAAATTTAGCGTTAACTCATTTTTATTTTTCCGGCATTTTCCCTCTTTTTATTGCAAAGGCCTCATATATATTGTGAATGTAGTTACACATAATGATCTACATAGTAATATTATAAACATTCATGTGACTTAATCGATATTTGATGAACAACATATAATAGAATTTTAAAATAGACTTTTTGATATGATTAGATTAGCTATATTTGATAAAATGTGCATTTTAATATTATGTTAAATAATACTCACAATTCGTTAAATTTTTTTTTGTATATATTAAATAATTGTTACATTTTCGAAAAGTCCAACTATTTTCAACTTAATATAATTAATAATATCTTCAAATAAAAATAAAAATGTTTTTTATTCTCCTCAAACTCGAAAACCTGTACCATGTTATTGTCAAGATTGTAATGAAAAAATTGGTAGATCCTAGAACCCAATCATCACATAATAAAAAAAATGTTGTGTCTCGAAGAGAAATTAAAGAATTTACTAATCCATCTCCACCTATCAATCCTATATCTGCTTTAAAGAATCTTATGGATATTAGTGATGAAGAATCACAAGAATCAAATAAAGAAACCTATTCATTTTTAGTGAAAAGAACGACAATTACCTCTCAAAAAAAAAAGATGTCTGAAATCTTGATTCCAAAAGTAATAAGCGAACTGCTTTCTGATGATGATGATAATGATAATTATTCATCTGAAGAAAACAATAAAGAACCTTTGAGGATGATGTTTTAGAATACTTATCTGATAATTCAGATGAAGATTTTCAAGTAAATTTTGCTGCACTGGAAATGAAATTAAAAGGAAATGATTTTAGGTATGCTAAAGAAGGATTTGATGACACCTTTTTGTGGATTGTTATATGGATCTTGAAACACCAGGAGAGGTTTCAGCTATCCAATATGGTTACAAATTCCCTCTTTAAGTTTTTTCGATATATCCTTATAAATGTAGATAAAAAATTATTTTTCTCTTTTCCTACTTCTCTTTATATGACACAAAAGAACCTTGATATTTGTGTCCAATTAATTAATTACACGAATTGTGAAACTTGTTGTAAGTTATATAAGATTGATGATATGTGTAGTGATAGTCCAAAATTCACGAAGTGTATATTCCAAGAATTCCCTAATCATCCGATAAGTAATAAAAGAAATGCTTGTGGAAACACTCTGTACAAACTTATTCACATGAAGAGTGGTATAATTAAAAAGCCAGCTTCAATATTTCCTACAGTCAGTTTGAAACACCAGTTGAGTCTTCTATTTAAATGAAAAAGCTTTAAAGAATCTTGTAGAAAGTGGGTAAATCATCTTTCTGACCCAGAGATTCTTGCTGATATATATGATGAAAGAATATAAAAAACTTTTAAAGATGAAAATGATGTGTCTTTCTTTCAGCCAAACTTAGCAGATACCCATATTGGAATAATGCTTAACATAGACTGGTTTCAGCCCTTTGAGAACTCTCAATATAGCACAGGAGCAATTTATGTTATATTATATAATTTACCTCAAAATGAACGATTTAAACCATCCAATATATTAACGTTAACATTAATTCCAGATCTGAAGGAGCCAAAACTACATCAACTAAATCATTATTTAGCACCTTTGATTGATCAGTTAATTGAATTATGGTAAGGGATAGACTTACCAGAGACTTTTGAGCATCCTAATGGAAAAACAATTAAAGGTGCTATTATTTGCTGTTCTTGTGACATACCTGCTGTAAGAAAACTCTGTAGGTATATATCCACAAGAATTGCATGTCACCAATGTCTTAAGCGTGCTAATTTCGATGATAAAAATCAGCCAAACTTTGGAGGATTCACTTATATAGATAGCTGATTTATAGAAAAACGTTGAAGAAGTTAAAAACAATGCTTTTGAATGGAAAACCTGTAAAATGGATGATCAGAGGCGAATACATGTATCAGAAACCTGTGTACGATGGTCTGAAATACATTGCTTATCTTACTTTAATCCTATATAATTTCTTGTCATAGATCCAATGCATTGTCT